AACGACTACCAATCGTCCTAATATAAATACATGCATTCAATCGCTAAAAACACACATTGAAAAACGACTACCAATCGTCCTAATATAAATACATGTATTCAATCGCTAAAAACACACATTGAAAAACGACTACCAATCGTCCTAATATAAATACATGCATTCAATCGCTAAAAACACACATTGAAAAAAAACTACCAAACGCCGTAAATACAACTCCGCCAACTAACAAACACCCTTTCAATAAACTTACAGGAGCTCCAGGCTCTCCTTTGATGTTACCAGAGTCATTTGGATCTGGTCCTTTTTGGCCACCCTGTAAAAACAAATACCAAATTCAAAACAAATTTAAAACACTGGATTGCAGTTCATACCTGGGGAAAAAACAAAACAAAAAACAAACAAACAAACAAAAAACAACAAAAACAACAAAAACAAAACAAAACAAACAAACAAACAAAACAACAACAACAACAACAACAAAAAACGACCGTAACTCATCATTCGAGTTGACTCGAAGTGACTCAGTAATTATAGAGCATTCGACTAAATTACTGAAGGTGGTGGGTTCAATTCCCATCTGAAACCTCAGATTTTTTTCTGAGTTCTTTCTCTATCACCACTTATTCAACGTTTATTCATATGTCTAATATTCGTTCTCAAAATCAAACACTACCTAGACATTACATCAGTAATGTAAACGGGGAAATATTTACGATCCTCACTCCACATAATACTGAATTCGTGTTCTTTAGTGTCATACTGACTTACCGGTGATGCCCCACCGGGTAAACCTTGTGGGCCTTGTAGTCCTTGTTGTCCTGGATCACCTGTTTCTCCAGGAGGTCCTAAAACACCCTAAGAAAGTTACATAATAATAATAATTGGTTAAGCTGGGTTTGAAAGTGATTACTGTTGATTTAATAAGAGCACGAAGGGGGATTTTTTTGAACTTACCGGATACCCCGGTGGTCCACCGGGACCACTATCTCCGTCCGGTCCTGGATCTCCCTAAGACAGAATGATGCAGTCAGCTGTTAAGAACGGTTCTCAGGCAACTTAGGGGTCGTTTACATGATACCGAAATGTGTGTCTTTCAGGAACGCGTTTATTTCTTTTATTTCTTCGTATTTGTTTACATGATACATGAGCAAAATTTGATATCGGAACGAGTCATTCCTAAATGAGAGTTCATTCCGCTTTTCGTTCCGGAACGAAACGCTCGTTCCGGGGGTGATATTCCATACCGGTACCATGTGAACGTGGTACGAACACTCATTCCAGAATGAAAACACTCTCAATCTCGTACCCAGAGCCTGTGTTTCTTCTGGCCTGTGGGGAAGAAAGAGAGCTCTGGCACAATCCATTTTTTTGGCGCATGCGCAATTTTCCAGAAGTAAAATATAATCAATGAAAATCATGCTTTCAAACAGAGTTTTGTGTTTACTTACGAACAAAATAAAAATTAGAAATCAGGAACATTTTTATTTTTATTTTTGACAAGTCTTTAAACGCATGCGCTCTCATATCGGAAGTGCAAGAAATCCTGGTCCCAAAAATGGATTATGCCAGAGCAATCGTTCTTCGCCACAGGCCAGAAGAAACGCACGCTCTGGGTACGATATTGATGCGTTGCAAGCATTTGCAAGAGAGTTAAAAGAGAAAAAAATGGCGGCCATTGTGCTACCGTTAACAATGGATGCTAATGAGAAATCTTTTGTTAAATGGTACCAACATGATTTTTCTCATGTAAAACGCGGTATGACATTCAATTATCGTTCCGGAACGAACTCATTCCGGTATCATGTAAACATCCCCTTACACGAATTGACTTTGGCTTCCGTCCATTAATTACATATGAACATTTTAACGCAGCGAAGAGAATTTTTCACCTTTTCAGACCACGTGTCATTCTCTTGAGAATATGATTCCTTTGTTTGACTTGTATCCATATTCATGTGTCTTCTTATGCACAACCGTTTCACAAAGAAATCATACTCTGGAGAATGACATGTGATCTGAACTCGGGGAAAACATGACGCCCAGGGTAAAGAGGTATATTTTTTCCCAACCGCCAAAACTGATCTTGATCCGAATGGCGTAAGCTTTTTTTCTCGTTTCCCGGATCCCGCGCTATATTTTATCTGTATCCCTGCTTACGCAAAAACCCTACCGGACCATGTATCCTAACTATATAATAAATTTTGATAAATGAGCTAAACATTTTATTAATTTTTCCATTCATTTTTTGTTATACTTTTCCTGTTATTTTTTAATGAATTATATTTAAAACCATTGATTTTTTAAGCTCGTCTCTTACCACTTCTCCAGGTGGGCCAACTGCTCCTTTTCGCCCTCTCTGTAAGGTGAAAAACGAAAAGTTAGAAATCAAGTAGAGCAGTAAAAACAAAACATTATACAGTTAATCAGGGCACCAGCAATGGTTCTATGCCTGGTGAGTGCTTATCTAGGTTCAATATAGATATTATTATGGCGGGAAACTCGTACACGAGAAAATGGTACATTTTGACTCCACTACGCTAGAAATACAACACACACACTTTTGTAATACATGAGCAGGTGGGTCACGCTTCCCCTATGACCAAGACCTCGTAACGCCCCAGCTCAAACTAGAGGTAAGTTTCTATAAGCCAAGAGAGGCTAGAGCATCACGTCTTTGCAAAATGGGAAAACAAAACACCTTTTCTATCCAAACTCAAGTGGAACCACGAGCGCAGGGAGGATTATATGCCGACGCCATTCCATGTTCGATAAGATTTACAGACCATAGAAGAGGGACCTCGATTTTTTTTTTTTTTTTTTTTTAACCACAAAAAATTCTTTAACACGCCGGTTTTTTCGACGTTTTTAGTGATCAAAACAACCAACGGAAAGAGTGCGAGCTCGTTGACGTCAGCGTATTTGTCTGTCCTCTTACTGATCATAAAAAATAGACAATCAGCGCGCGAGGGATTAACGTACAATTTGTGATAAAAAAGGTTTCGAATAAAAAACAACAACRATAATAAAGGAAACAACAGACGCGACAGCAACGACGACAAACAAACAAACAAACAGCAATAATAACAACAGATTACTCTCAAAATCAATTTGGATGCGATGCTAACAGGAGAATACACAAAAATGTCAAAAATTCCATTTTGTATTTTGACGATGTTGGCCTTAAATCCAAGATGGGTTTATAACAAGTTATAACAAAAACACTAAATCGTAACAATGATAATAAACAATACTTACTAAGGGTGCGTATGTTGGGGGTAGGACTGAAAGATAAAAAAAGAACAGAACGATCCATTAAATCATACATATATGAAGAGGCATACTATAAAAGGTTTTGTGCAAAGATAGGTTACATAAGGTCCATTGCTGTTAGGTAAAAGACCCTTTCAGGGCTACTCTTAAGTGCTAAGTTGGTATGTATATATATATATGTGTGTGTGTGTGTGTGTGTGT